AACCAGAGAGACATTGGTAAGAATGATGAACCAAATGATGAACTTACCAACATGTGTTTGTGGTGGAAAGACCTCGAGTTGGTCAATAAATGAAGGTGCAACAGGTTCCTCAACCTGGGGAAGATGAGGAACCTGAGGTTCTCCAGTGGGATTTGGACCCATTCGCGTCTTGGAAGGCATTTCATCAGGCAAACCCACAGATGAAGCTGATCCAGATGACACAGCAGACTCCTCCAAGACAGATGGGATGGGAGCAGATATGGAGATCGTGGAGGGTGAAGTCTCAGGATCAACAGGTAAGTCCGAAAGCTTGCCAGCTGTTGGTTGAGCAGCTAAATTACAGGAGGAGAGAGTCTCTACAGGTTCAATCGGTTCAGCAGCTGGAATGAGAAGTTCAATAGAGGACTCTAAAGATGCTACAGGTTCAGTAAGTGGGTCTGTGGTTGTTGAAGGTGGAATGGCTATGGGTTCAGCAGTCGAGGTTATGGTAGGAGGTGGTGTTAGGTGCTCAATGCTTGGTTCAACTAGTGGAGAAGCAGTTAGTGGTTCACTTGACTCTTGTGAAGGAACATTCATGGGGTCAGCAGGCAGCACAACAGGTTGAGAGTCAGGTACAAGTATGGCTACATGCTCATCACCTGTCGGTGGAGGAGTCGGAAGACCCTCAGGTGACTTTACAGGTGAAGGAGGTGCAGATGTTTCCTCAGTCACAGGCACTAAAGGCACGAAAGGTGTTACTGGCTCTGAAAGAGGAGGAGGAGGAACCAAAGTACTGGCATACGAGGGAGGATGAGGGATTATGGGTACATGAAGTTCACCTGAAACCAAGCGCTCAACCGGAGAAGCTACAGTCGTTGACTGCGTAGAGGATTTGGTTGTAGCTTGCGGTCGAACCACAGGTGGAGGCACCTTCATGCGATCAATCACTCGCTCTGAAAGCTGTTTAGTGTCAGATCAGAAATACCATTGATATACAATTTCCCTTCTTCTTTAAAATACGTGCGCTATTATGTTTTATGATGAAAACTGAGAACATTTTTTTTGCATCACCAGGATTTCAAATAACTATTCTTCCAGAGTATCGTATCCCAAAATGAATTAATTTACTAATATTTTTTTTTGGTCAGATTTTCAATACAATTTGACTTGAGCTGGGATGCATGGATCTCCATTAGATGATATTACTTTTTTTTTATGTGTGTTTTACGTGATCTCAAATAATCTGGGAGTTGGTTGAAAGTGCATTAATTTTGAAAGAAAGTACTGCTGATGGGAATACCATTGTACACTGTTATATACCACTGAATTGAAACCAAATTCATGTACAATGGTATTACCATGGGACACATCCAAAAACAAAATCTGGTAGTACCAGGAGTTGGTTGAAAGTGCATTAATTTTGAAAGAAAGTACTGCTGATGGGAATACCATTGTACACTGTTATATACCACTGAATGGAAACCAAATTCATGTACAATGGTATTACCATGGGACACATCCAAAAACATGGTGTTACTATGGTAAGTCCAACAAAATCTGGTAGTACCGTGTTTTATTAAAAGGAAAAGTAGTTCTATGAGGTTGGTGTGGGGCTATACGGTCATTAGTATTAGTTGGTTTTGAAAGCAATGTCTACAGGCAATCTGAAAGTTTACCTACCACTCATGTCCAGGTGTAGTATGTTTAGTATGCAGTAGGGTCGTGACCTGTAGGCTATATATATAGGCTATATATAAGCTACATGCCCTGCATTTTGTTCAGCAGCCATAAAATATCCACAAACGATGCATTTCTTGCAATTTACACTATATTCTAGTTAAACAGTTTCAAAACCGAATCACTGAAGCTCTTGCAGAGCAAACATGTAACAACCTTACGTTGTTAAGCACGCATCCGCAAGTTTTGCATGAACGACACAGATGATATAGTTGAAATCACTTAATAAAGGAACCAGAAAACACTTTTCCTTAAAGTTTAAAGTTTAATGCTCCTCATCGGCCGGGTCGAAGGAAACGTGGCGCGAGCTGCTGTTTCCCCCCATCTCTGCAGTTTATTGCGATAATTATCGTCAATAAAACACAGAAATTGTTTTATCTGAAGGACTGGGATGTTCAGTATGGGCTTCGACAGCTAACGCCCGAGAGCACATGTTCAGCTCAGCCTTTCCCACTCCCACACCCGGAGGAATTTAAACCTCTCAAGAGCCAGTCATTCATTTTTGTCAGCTAATAAACGTTTATAATTAGCAATAAATGTTATTGTTAATATATCTGGGAGTGTACATGCTTTATTTACGTTTATAAGAACTTGAAGTGGACATTTTGTGCTTTTTCAAGATATTAAATATTTGGGTGTGTGGCTAATATGATATATTAATAATGCATGATTCATATAAATTATTATTCAAAATGTTGAAAAACTAATTTCTGCACTAAAAAATGCAGATTACTCTTTCTGAACAGGCTTATTAATTATTATTAACTTCACAGTACTAACAGTAACTATTGTATTTTGGTGGAAAATATGGTTGTCAGCTAATGAATGTTCACAATTAGAAATGAGTGTTATTTCATACATCTAGGAGCATACTCGCTTATTTAAGTTTATAAGTACTTAAAGTTGACATTCTGTGCTGTTTCACAATACCACCTGTATATGTCTGGGGGCGTGGCTAATGTGATATATTAATAACACATGATGTTATTATTATTATTCAAAATATTATCATTGTTCTGTTTTTTTTACCACAATCTCATTAAATTATCATGATTTTACAGTATTAACAATAACTGCATTAACTATTGTGTTTTGGTGGAAAAATATGGTTACCATGATGAATTGTACTGTGTGAGTTTATGAATTCTACATGAGTGACAAACATTACCCTGGATATTATCCACTGATTGATATAATGACTCTCTATTATAGATCTGTGGTATTATTGATGCTTCAGACAAGAAGTTCATACTTAATACTTTCAAAATCCAATAAAGCCCATACAATTAATAGAACATATAGAAAAATAGATTAATCCTAGCAATTATGAACTGTGCCCAGACAGCACACCTACGTCTGCAAGATGTCTGTTAAAGATCGCTTCATCTGGAAAGCATCTGCTGTGTACAAACATCTGATAGACGTCAGTTTTACATACATTCGAAATCATAAACATCTTCTAAAAGTCTATTTGACATCTGATAGGAAACGTCCTATAGACATATTGCAGATGAGCAAACTCAAGTCTTGTAGATGTAAATGCAGACGTCAAATAGACGTCTCTGTGATGTATGTGTGCTATCAGAGTGAGTGAATAGCCTACACACCAGGTGCATGAAAAAAAAATGCAGCTGAGATTCAAAGAATTGCACAAAAGACATGATTTCCTTCACTTTATGAGGTCTCAGTTTGTGTTAGCTGATAAACAAAGTTTCTTACACAAATCCATGCCAAATTACAAATTCTAGCCTCATGAACATAACATCTGTAGACATTTTCTACAGTATTAGCAGTCATGTTTTCTACAGTATTGCTTTTACTCACCCGCCTGAGGCGCTAGTGGATGGCGACTACAAAATGTCAAATATGATAGATGACTACAACTTAAAATGCCTATGCATTAGCTTTCGTAGTCTTATTTACTTTATTATTTCACCCGAACAAAGACACATGTAAGTGGGCCAACATATTTACTGACTTACTAAAAACGGCTGTGTTTAAAAATGGAAAAGAAATAAATACGGCTAACTTGTAGTCAACACGAACACTTATGAAAAATAGCTCTGCTGTAGTCCTGCTAACAAATGTAGCAAAACTTGACCATTATGTTAGTTTTAATGTGCGAAGAAGTAGATCTATGTGACTTTCTTGAAGTAAATATAATGCCAGGAACAAAATGAGTGTCTATTTCTGCAAAAACAGACCTAGATACTGAAAACAGGTCATGAATTGTGAACGCTTACAGACAAACACTCTAACTTACACTCACACCTGGCTCAAAAACAGCTCATAAAATTGGCCTAAATGTACCTCAAGCACTCATCCATTCACAGTGAATAACTTAAAAATGAATAGTGATGGGACACACACTAACAAAACACACTCACACGAAGCTAAAGAGGTATTACAGTTCCCTTACAATTTACTGTGGAAGCTTGTTTCCACCATGGAATGAGAAAATTAAAAAGGTAATTGTGACTTTTTATCTCACAATTTGGACTTTTCGGACACTCTTGCCATTCTGAGTTTATATCTCGAAATTCTGACATTTTTTCTCAGAATTCCGAGTTTGAATCTCAGAATTCTGACGTTTTTTCTCAGAATTCCGAGTTTGAATCTCAGAATTCCGAGTTTGAATCCCAGAATTCTGACGTTTTTTCTCAGAATTCCGAGTTTGAATCTCAGAATTCCGAGTTTGAATCCCAGAATTCTGACGTTTTTTCTCAGAATTCCGAGTTTGAATCTCAGAATTCCGAGTTTGAATCCCAGAATTCTGACGTTTTTTCTCAGAATTCCGAGTTTGAATCTCAGAATTCCGAGTTTGAATCCCAGAATTCTGACGTTTTTTCTCAGAATTCCGAGTTTGAATCTCAGAATTCCGATGTTTTTCTCAGAATTCCGAGTTTGAATCTCAGAATTCTGATGTTTTTTCTCAGAATTCTGAGTTTACGAGTTTGAATCTCAGAATTCCGAGTTTGAATCCCAGAATTCTGACGATTTTTTCTCAGAATTCCGAGTTTGAATCTCAGAATTCCGAGTTTGAATCCCAGAATTCTGACGATTTTTTCTCAGAATTCCGAGTTTGAATCTCAGAATTCCGAGTTTGAATCCCAGAATTCTGACGTTTTTTCTCAGAATTCCGACGTTTTTCTCAGAATTCCGAGTTTGAAGCTCAGAATTCTGATGTTTTTTCTCAGAATTCTGAGTTTAGTCTTTTGTCAGAATTGCAAGATATAAACTCTGAATAGGGAGAAGAAGTCAGAACTGTGAGATAAAAAGTCGCAATTACCTTTTTTTTTATTTTATTCCGTGGTGTAATATGGAAACGGGCTTCCATAATTTACTCTGCCTTCTTCTCAGCTTTCTCTCCTTTCACCGCCGCACGAATGCTGGACCACACTTCCGTGTAGAGCAGCGTTCCCAGGAACACCACGGCCGTGCCGACCCAGTGCCAGGCTGTGAAGGGATTATGGAAGTACAGGATGGAAATAATGAGACTCAGGAATTTGCGAAGCGTCACCACTAGTGTAACCGTGAGCGACGCACACTCCGTGGTCAGAATGAACACGCCGCGGATGCACACATATCTGAAATATCAGGCTAAGGATAAAGTATACAATGAAACATACTGACTGTAGACAGATTTCTCAGCATGGCTTTCTACAGTTCTGTCCAATAATAATAATAAAATAATAATAATTCATTACATTTATATAGTGCTTTTCTAGGCACTCAAAGCGCTTTACATTGTCGGGGTATCTCCTCATCCACCACCAGTGTGCAGCATCCACCTGGATGATGCGACGGCAGCCATAGTGCGCCAGAACGCCCACCACACACCAGCTTACTGGTGGAGAGGAGACAGAGTGATGAAGCCAATTAGCAGATATGGGGATTGTTAGGAGGCCATGATGATCAGGGTCCAATGGGCAAATTTGGCCAGGATGCCGAGGTCACACCTCTACTCTTTTCGAAAGACATCCTGGGATTTTTAATGACCACAGAGAGTCAGGACCTCGGTTTAACGTCTCATCCGAAGGACGGTGCTTGTTGACAGTATAGTGTCCCCGTCACTATACTGGGGCGTTAGGACCCACACAGACCACAGGGTGAGCACCCCCTGCTGGCCTCACTAACACCTCTTCCAGCAGCAACCTAGTTTTCCCAGGAGGTCTCCCATCCAGGTACTGACCAGGCTCAGCCCTGCTTAGCTTCAGTGGGCAACCAGGCTTGGGCTACAGGGTGATATGGCTGCCATAATAAAAGCCTATAAAGAAAATGGATATGACAAATATGAAAGGATACTGGGTGACGACGTTCATCAGTAGGTATAACCACATGACAGGCACAGACAGACCAATCACAGGCACTTCCACTGGAGCTTTGAGAGAAAGTCACTGGTTTGTCATTTCAAGCAAAAAAGCCAAACAAAGTAAGACTTCTTAAGGCTTACATACAGCATTCAAACATTTGGGGGTTTGAAAGACATCAGCCCTTTCATTCAATAAGGTTGCATTAAATTGATCAGAAGTGATAAAAGATGTTACAAAAGATTTCGGTTTCAAATAAATGCTGCTCTTTTGAACTTTCTATTCACCAAAATATGATCTGTATCATGTTTCCACAAAACTTTGAAGCAGCACGACGGTTTTCAACATTGATAATAATCAGAAATGTTTCTTGTGCAGCAAATCAGCATATTTGAATGATTTCTGAAGATCATGTGACATTGAAGAGTAATGATGCTGAAAATTCAGCTTTACATCAAAGGAATCAATTATATTTTAAATATATATTATGGAAGCCCATTTCTGACATGGAATTTAAAAAAAAGAGTTGCAATTACTTATTAAAATTGGAGCTATTTTAAATTGTAGTAATATTTCATAATACTCCTGTTTTTACCGTATTTTGGATCAAATAAATGCAGCTTTGGTGAGCATTCTTTAAAAAACATTTTAAAATCTTACCGACCCCAAACATTTGAGCGGTGCTGGCTAATTTACTGTATTAGTCCCAACAGAATCGGACTCACAGCTCTGGCTGAAGAGCACAGCGTGTTTGTAGATGTCTGTTGACAGCAGGAGGAATCCCGGTAATGGCAGAAAGTGCTGAAACAAGGCAGAAAAATCCCACTCAATCCCAATGTTGCACACTTAAATACAGCATCATACAGTGGCATGCGAAAGTTTAGGAACCCCTTGCAGAATCTGTGAAAATGTGAATAATTTTTTACAAAATAAGAGAGATCATACAAAATGCATGTTCTTTTTTATTTAGTACTATCCTGAGTAAGATATTTTACATAAAAGATGTTTACATTTAGTACACAAGAAAAAAAATAGCAGAAATTATTAAATTAACCCCATTCAAAAGTTTGTGAACCTATGGTTCTTAACACTGTGTTGTTACCTGGATGATCCACACCTGTTTTTTTGTTTTGTGATGGTTGTTCATGAGTCCCTTGTTTGTTCTGAACAGTTAAACTGAGCACCGTTCTTCAGAAAAATCCTTCAGCTCCTGCAGATTCTTCAGTTTTCCAGCATCTTCTGCATATTTGAACCCTTTCCAGCAGTGACTGTATGATTTTGAGATGCATCTTTTCACACTGAGGACAACTGAGGGACTCAAACACAACTATTACAGAAGGTTCAAACATTCACTGATGCTCCAGAAGGAAACACGATGCATTAAGAACAGAATGAAAATGTCCAAATCTTTTTTTTTCCATTTAGTACTGCCCTTCGGAAGCAACAGAATATACTTGCATGTTTCCCGGACGACAAATTAAGTACAATTTACCTTGATCTTCAAATTCAAAAAGTTTCCTTCTGGAGCATCAGTGAATGTTTGAACCTTCTGTAATAGTTGTGTTTGAGAAAAGATGGAATTCAAAATCATACAGTCACTGCTGGAAAGGGTTCAAATATGCAGAAGATGCTGGAAAACTGAAGAATCTGCAGGAGCTGAAGGATTTTTCTGAAGAACAGTGCTCAGTTTAACTGTTCAGAACAAACAAGAGTCATGAACAACCATCACAAAACAAAAAACAGGCGTGGATCATCCAGGTAACAACACAGTGTTAAGAACCAAACTTTTGAATGGGATTATTTGAATAATTTCAGCAATTTTTTTGTTCTTGTGGACTAAATGTAAACATCTTTTATAATTTTTTTGTTCTTGTGGACTAAATGTAAACATCTTTTATGTACAATATCTTACTCGGGATAGTACTAAATAAAAAAATAACATGCATTTTGTATGATCTCTCTTATTTTGGAAAAATTATTCAGAGATTCTGCAAGGGGTTCCCAAACTTTCGCATGCCACTGTATGTATAGTTAGGGACTGACATTGTAAAACAGAGCCTCCTTGGAGTGTTTGCCATATTTCTTGTACAGAGTTTCCTGGAAAATGCCCATTCTTGCAGACATCAGCAAGGCGAACGTCAGTATGGCGATACCTGAAACACAACAGTATTAATGCAATCAAATATGATGCAGAATGATTTAACTAACCACATATACGTACATGTCTTCAGAACTGCATGTTAACATACTATTGATACTAATCTAGCAGTTTGCAATAAGTACACTACTGTTCAAAAGTTTGAGGTTGGTATGAATTTTTATATTTCTGAGTCTCTTATGCTCATTAAAACGCAATATTTATTTGATCAAATACAGTAAAATCTGTAGTAATATTTCATACTATTACTATTTCAAATAACTCTTTTCTGTTTTACTACATTTTAAAATGTAATTTATTGCTGTGATGCGCAGTTGTATTTTCAGCATCATTACTCCAGTCTTCAGTGTCACATGATCTTCAGAAATCATTCTAATATGCTGCCGAGGAAACTTTTTTTTATTATTATCAATGTTGAAAACAGTTGTGCTGCTTCATATCTGAGCGTAAACCGTGATATGTTTTGTTTTTTAAGGATTCTTTGATAAATAGAAAGTTCAAAAGAACAGCATTTATTTCAAATATAAATATTTTGTAATATTATAAATGTCTTTAATGCATCCCTGCTGAATAAAAGTATTAATTTCCTTTAAAAAAAATACTGACCTCAAACTTTTGAACATACTACATACTACTACTAATAATGCAGCATGCAACTATTATAAATGCTTATTGTTATTAATGCAATTTCACATACTAATTTTTAAATGGTAGTATATTCTATACTTTTACAGTATGCAGCAAATATTGCCTGAGTGTGAATGTGGAGAATATTACCCAGAAGCCAATGCATGAAGGCATAAAAAACATCTTCCTCTGTGGCCCCTTTCTCAACATTCTACATAAAGATCAAACCTGGCGTATTAGGTGCAGATAAATGTGAAATAAAGCATTGAAATACAAGTACATTATGTCTGTTAATACAAAACAACTACTAAACTCACCACTTGTTTGGCCGACATAATAGTGCAGATGAAAATGCCCACAGACACCAGCACGATGGAGAGATATTTACTCGCCGAATATCTGCAAGCAATAACGTGACTGAATAATATGCAAAATAAAGCAATGATTTTGTGCATGATCTTCAGCCTACCTTTTCTTCAAGATGATAATACCGAGGATCATGTTTGCTATTAAAGATCCCTGTGATCAAAATGAGAAGATACAGAGATCGATAAGGCACAGATTTTAAAGCAATGAATGAATGAAATAAATGATACTCACTGATCTGAAGATCATGTGCAGAGGCATAGCGATGTTAAAGTTCAGGGCGTAGTTATTGATCACGCTGACGGTAAAGAACATGGTCACCATGATCACATAGTTACTGCAAAAAGGAAATGCATCAAAAGTCATGAAATCCTCATAAGTAGGAGGGAAAACAATACTGAATTGAAATAATGTAATGCATATATATGAGCAATGCTTAGAAGATTACTTACAAAGTTACTGATTTCAAATTACATGGCAAAAATTGTAATTAGTAATGTAATCTACTACATTACACTTTTTAGGTAATATAATCTGACTATTGTTTGATTACTTTTGACATAACTGGTGCATCCCATTGAATTTAATAGAATAATCTTGTACCATCTTTACATATCATATCCAGTTGTTAAAGCAAATTATTAATTAAATCAAATTATTTTACAATTCAAAATATTTAAAAATAAAACACTGGTGACCATTAAATGACATCAGAGAACTGCAAACATGCAAATATTTTGTTAAATTACTGGCTTAATAATTAAGTTATTATTTAATTTAATTAGGTAATTATTAACTTAAAAATAGAATAAAGTTATTAACTTGAATTCTCAGGGTCTACATCACATAAATATGTGACCCTGGAGCACAAAACCAGTCATAAGGGTCAATTTTTCGAAATTGAGATTTATATATCATCTGAAAGCTGAATAAATAAGCTTTCCATTGATGTATGGTTTGTTATATTTGGCTGAGATACAACTATTTGAAAATCTGGAATCTGAGGGTGCAAAAAAATCTAAATATTGAGAAAATCATCTTTAAAGTTGTCCAAATTAAGTTCTTAGCAATGCATATTACTAATCGAAACCTAAGTTTTGATATATTTCCAGTAGGAAATTTACTAAATATCTTCATGGAACATGATCTTTACTTAATATCCTAATGATTTTTGGCATAAACGAAAAATGGATAATTTTGACTCATACAATGTATTTTTGGCTATTGCTACAAATATACCCCAGCGACTTAAGACTGCTTTTGTGCTCCAGGGTCACAAATATTAATTCAAAGAAGTTCTGCAAACTATACATGTTAATTAAACATATAAATTGCAATGTTTTTAATACCAATTACTTTATTATTCATTCATTGCACAATAAACAATCTTGACGTCCAGTGTAAAGTCTGTCCTGAGGCTGAAGCATTAATGTCAGAGATCCGTCTAGATTTAGCACAAAGACTGTAACATAAGTCATCTTGTCCAGCTTCAAAACTGCATGACTATGTGTTAGGAATGGAATACTAGCGTAGTGCTTAACACACACTGTGCAGTATATACTGTATGCTACCTCCGGAGTATGCGAAACATCATATAGTATGCATGCTATTGTTGTAGTCAACACCACATTCAGCAAGTGACGTCCAGCTATCATATCTGATTTTCTGTGCAAATATGTAAACTAGGGCTGTGCGATATTGAAGAAAAATGCGATATGCGATAACTCATTAAATAATGCGATATTCGATATGCGATACGATAATGCTTAAAGTGCCACATGCTCAGATGAAACAGTTTTACTCAGCTGTTGCTGAGTCAGTTCTGTGAACTTCTATAACTATCTTGTGTCATATATATATGGTTATTTGTATGTATGTATGTACCAAGAGTTCCTGTAAAACCACAACAAATTCCTTGTGTTTGCGCACACTTAAGTGGTGAATAAAGCTCATTCTGATTCTGATTCTAATCAGAACCCCTACAACAACTTCTGAAAGTGAACAGTAGTGTTTTAATAAGGAAAAATAAAACACAGCTTAGTATTTACTCTTATAATTCAATATGCACTGATTCTTATTTAAGCTACAAAAGTTATTTAGGTAAGAGCAGTGAGTGATTTTCTCTTTGTCTTTTGTTCATGGCCCCAAATATTGCAAGCTGTAGCGATATGCATATTGCGATATGTACATTTGCGATATTTCGATAATTTCGATATATTGCACAGCCCTAATGTAAACTGTGCACAGCATGCACACTGAAAACTTCAAAGATATTAGCTGTCTGAACTGTGTGTTGACTTACAAACCACCTGTCACTGTGACAAAGCACAGCATTCACCTCTCACCTATAATAATAATATAATAATCAATAATGGTAATCACTGCCTTTTACCTCGTTCAACAAGTAAAAACAGGTTGTTTGAGTAAAAATGCATAATTATGCATTTCTTTTTTGAAAAAAGAATGAATGAACGAATGCACATATAACATGATGGGAATCCTATTATAATCAATGACATTCACACTGTTCTGACAAGCCTAAACAAGCCTGTTATAATTAAAATACATGTATGCGTGTACAATATGTCACAAATTATTAACCTGAGGGGTATGTGTGGCTTTTTGCGTCCAAAGTTTGTCTCAAAGATGAACCCTTCCAGTGCAATAAAGGCAAACTGGGCAAATGTGACAATATTCCCACACCCTGGGAAATCCCTGTAAAATATACAATTCAAAGAAGCAAGAAATGGCAGCATATATTAAGTTCAAATGCAGTGAACACAAACTCAAATATGAAAAAAATATCATATATGAGAGAAATGCAACTCACCTAACCAAAAGTTCCAAAAACACAACATTACTGCAGCAACCAACAAACACCAAAGCGATCGCGAATAACGTATTCATTGTCAAAGGTTAAAATGAAACAATCACACAGTTATTTTAGCTTCACACTAATCCGGATGTTGGCATTGTGAATAATAAATGTCTAAATGTTCCAGCACTAGTGAACTAGTGATACTTCAATGAACGTCTCCCAGCTACACACATGCCTTCCTGCTTCCCACTGCGCCTGCTGGGATTTGTAGGTTTTTGGATATAATCCAGAATGTATGCGGATATTACTGAAAACTACATTTCCCAGCAACGCAACCAAAAGCGACTAGGCTCATTCAAACTAAAAAAATTAGCAAGTATTTGCGTGGGAGTAGCATAATTGCGAGAGGAATTAGTAATAATAAAATAGCTTTTAAATAAAATAAAGTGAAAATTATAAAAATAAACGGTATCTGATTTTTGGCACCGAGTTCCTGCGACATTTCAGACGTTTAAAATATCTCTACGTGTTTCCGGTGTCGTGGCGATCACACACACAACAGTTGCACACACCAGTCAGTAAACCATCTGATAAACCACACAAACATGATTTCGTTAACGGACTCACAGAGTAAGTCAATTTTACCACATCTCTGCGTTGCGTTACTGTTGTTAGTTTAGATAGAAATGTTAAAAATACTGCTTCAAAGCTGAAAATGGTGTGGAAGTGATGAATGGAAATGAATGAGGACACACGGCGTGGCATCAAATCACAACTATAGTGAAACTATCTAATCTAATATTAGAATAATTGTGATACCATTAAAATACCACTTCCATTATGGTAGTGTACCCTGGATCAGTATTATAGTATATAAATATGGTGATCATTTGATCAGTAGTATATCTATCTAATGTTGAATATCTAGGTTGAATATATCTATCTATCTAATGTTGAATGTCTATCTATCTATCTATCTATCTATCTATCTATCTGTCTGTCTGTCTGTCTGTCTATCTAATGTTGAATGTCTATCTGTCTGTCTATCTAATGTTGAATGTCTATCTGTCTGTCTGTCTATCTATCTAATGTTGAATATCTATC